GACCCGTAGAGAGCATTCTACCCTTTTCCGGCTGAGGACCATGGTCTCGGATTTGGAGGTGCTGATTTTCATTCCAGCCGCTTTACACTCGGCTGCGAACTGTTCCAGTGAGAGCCGAAGGTCACGGTCTGATGAGGCCAACAGAACCACATCATCTGCAAAAAGCAGAGACCTAATCCTGAGGTCACCAAACCGGACACCCTCAACGCCCTGGCTGCGCCTAGAAATTCTGTCCATAAAAGTTATGAACAGAATCGGTGACAAAGGGTAGCCCTGACGGAGTCCAACCCTCACCGGAAACAAGTCCGACTTATTGCTGCCCATGCGGACCAGACTCTGGCACCGGTCATACAGGGACCGAACAGCCCTTAAAAGGAAGCCCGGCACCCCATACTCCTGGAGCACCCCCGACAGGACTCCCCGAGGGACACGGTCGAATACCTTCTCCAAGTCCACAAAACACATGTAGACTGGTTGGGCAAACTCCCATGAACCCTCCAGAACCCTGCAGAGAGTATAGAGCTGATAGGACTCCTTCTTCCACTTGACGGCATCCCTCACCACTGGTGTCCACCAGCGGGTTCGCAGACTGCCGCTGCAACGGCCACAGCTCCGGTCAGCCGCCTCCACAATGGAGGCGCGGAACATGGCCCATTCGGACTCAATGTCCCCCGCCTCCCCCGGGACATGGGAAAAGTTCTGCCGGAGGTAGGAGTTGAAACTCCTCCTGACAGGGGATTCCGCCAGACGTTCCCGCCTTTGGCCACTACTTAGCTCACAACGCACCCGACCCCTATGGCCCCTCCTATAGGTGGTGAGCCCATTGGAAGGGGGACCCACGTGCCTTGTTCGGGCTGTGCCCAACCAGGCCTCATGGGTATAGGCCTGGCCACCAGGCGCTCGCCATCGAGCCCCACCCCTAGGCCTGGCTCCAGGGGGGGGCCCCGGTGACCCGCGTCCGGGCAAGGGAAAACGTGTTTCCAATATTTTTCTCATCATAAGGGGTCTTTTGAGCCGCACTTCGTCTGGTTCCTCACCCAGGACCTGTTTGCCTTAGTTGACCCTACCAGGGGCATAAAGCCCCGGGCAACTTAGCTCCTTGGATCACTGGAACACGCAAACCCCTCCAGCACGATAAGGTGTCGGCTCCAGGAGGGGCCGGACAAAATTATATATACTGTGTATATACAGTGTGTGTGTGTGTATATATATATATATATATATATATATATATATATATAT